TCGTTCAAGACCTACATGTGTACTCTTGTCTCCTCCCTTGCCTCCTTCCTTACCCTCTCCTCCTCTAACATCCTCCGTCTCTCCAATCCCTATTTGTCAAGCCCAACATCGATCGGGTTACGAATACCGCGCTGTCTAGCAAACTCACGCATCTTGTTTTTGTGATATTTAACGAATAGGTTGACGTAGTCAGGTCCATATCCCCTCTTCCGTGCAATTACTTGCCTCCCCTTCAGTTCATCCAAGAACTTAGCTTGACCATCATAACATTTCCACCTGCATTTCCTAGTGCTCTATTCAAACGAAAAATTATATCATATATGTCTTAGCAAAAGAAACAAAATACGATTTCATGTTTACCACAAAAATAATCAACCTCATCATAGTCAACCATATGGCCGCAATAATGGCCTATTCCAAGCTTCGAAGGGACTAGACTGTAGTTGGATTTAACACCACATTCGCACTTGACTAGAGGTGCTTTATAAATTAACCTTTCTTTCTTCTTTTTCTTTACCTTTGGTGGCTCCGGCCATTGATTCTTAGGACCGTAGAGCGACTCATTGAAACGACACTTTACAAATCCATAACGCTAGAAGAGAATACATTAGTACACGCACACCTATAGAGATAAACATTTAAATAGATACACTTTCCACTTACTTCGTGTTTGTTCGGACACACAAACTCTAATGTATTCTCAGGGTTTATCACAGCTCGATCTCCGCATTCGCACAGAGGTGCTTCTCCTTAGTTGTCATTGGCGGGGGGTTAGGGGGGTGGAACCCAACGCTGGAAGTACTCACGTGGATGTCTCCCTCTACACCAATCGTCGAAAAAGAGGTAGCTATGGTCAAACTTCTCTGCACCATCGATCCACTGAAAGAAAAAGCACCTCTCATGGTCCTACACAACAAGATTCCAACAAAATATTAGTAGCCTACTTACACAAATGAAGAAAAAAAGATAGTGGAAACAATTACTTACATTAAAACGACTGCATGTGTAGAAGCAACGCGCCGCTGTGTCTGGATGTCTCGATTGAAACACGTCAGCCGGAAAACCACAGTCACAGTTAGGGACAGGGAGGTCATGAGGGACGGGGGCATCTTTGCTAGACGCGTCGGGGTATAATTCTCGAGGATGACCCCGTTTTCGCCAAAACTCCTCATGATACATTTCTTGCATCTAACAAAACGGTTGTAATTTAACAAACAAAAATTAAAACATCATAAATTAATGTCAATGAGAACCATTTGTATTACAACAAATAAAATATAACCTACACTTTGTTGCAAACTCTATCTTAGATGCAAACATGAAAACTATATAAAAACTATACTTTGGTCAGTAAAAAATAAAATTTGGTACATCAACAGTGTGTCCATATATTTATTCACATATAAAAGTAGAGATGCAAACTCAAACAAGCAAAATACATGGTAATCATAATTCTAACTAACCAATTAACCTTAACATTGGCAGTCCTAATTCTAATCCTTCAATCCAACGTTCTAACGAACTTATATTTTTCTTCATACCCTAATTACTCATTCAAATCATTTGATCCACCGTGGAGGCTGAGGAGGAGCTTCATTACCTTGACAAGGCCGAGGAGGAGCTTCGGGGAAGGTAGGCAGGGGAACGGCAAGGGAGGGAAATTCGGCGGCCGGCTTGTGGGGGAGCCAGGAGGCAATGGCGCGGCGGTGCGTGCTGGGAGGCGCGCCGGCGGGGGTAGGGCGGCACGGAGGCGGGCTGTGTGCCCTGGCAACTAAAACAGTGAGGGAGAGGCAGGACTGAGCCGCAGGCCTATATTAGGCTCTGCCGCGCCCTGGATGGTGGCGCGCCACTGCCGCGCCATGATGCGTGGCACGTCACCGCCGTGCCCTGATCGGTGAGCCGGCCACGTCACCGGTCAGGGGCCCTGGTCGTTGCCACGTGGGCAGCCTCGCCGCGCCCCCATGCATAGCGCGGCAGCGTTAAATCGCCGTGCCGTATAAATAGGCGCGACCAAAAGTGTTAGATTTAAAAAAAATAAACCGTGTTAGTTTTAAATTTAGTTTAAAAAATGTGTTAAAATAAAAAAATTCGGGGCTGACAGGTGACAACTTTGTTTTTGAACCTGACAAGTGACAACTTAACTGCACACAGTACAGCGACCGTACAGCCACATACGGTGCACTGCACTGGCACTTAGCTTATTCCACAGCCGAATTACTTGAACCGGTCGTATCGGTACGGTGGCGTACAGCTACTCCACTACAATGTTATCAATTCATGTCCAATGTTATCAATTCATGTCTCAATGTCAACTTTAGGTAGATCTTATAAAAGTCCGTCAACTACTCTCTCCCTGCTGCGCCTGTTGACCCAAATGAAACTGCACTATCTTAGCCATATCCATTATACAGTATAAATTTGCCAACTACTCTCCCTGCTACGCGTGTGTTGAGCATCATGAAACTGCACACTCTGAACATGATAAACTGCTTGGGATAACACATTTTCTAAAAACTAGATGAACTCCCGGCACATTGCTTCAGGAATTCGAAGAACGGGGGTCAACTAATTGTAGGAATTTAAAGAACAAGAGTTATTAACTAACTGATTGTGACTCAAATGCGAGTGAAAACAAATGAAGATAAAATGGTCTCAATAATTCTGACAAAACTAATGAATTTGAACCAATTTAAATTCCTAAAAGACTCTAGTCATAACAACCTGAACCAATGAGCAATAAGTCTCAATAACAAGAGTACGAACTATATATACCAATAACAAGAGTAAGATCGATCTCTTTAACCATGATTGTGGGTTACATAGGATCCTTGTAGTAAAAAGCATTACAAAAGATGAGGAAAACATTTCCTCATGGATGGGTACACTCGTAAAGTAATGAAATTTTGTCAATAAATATACATGGCAAAGATATACTGAAAGGAAGAAGAATGTACTCGAGCAAAAAAAAAAAAAACTGACCATCACTCTAGATAAACGCTACGTTTAGAAAGAGAGAGAACCTCCTTTCAAACAGTTTTTGCAAAATATATATATATATATATATATATATATATATATTGATACCGGGTCAAACCGCAGAGCAACATATGGTTGGAGAACTAACCTGATTATCAGCGTCTACCTGGAAGCTGGAACTCTATGATGGCAAAACTACATATATATATTCAGAGGTGGGTGAGCAAATTGTGTATAGGGGACTAAAAAGGCATGGATCATGAGTTGATGACCGTTCGCCTAGCCTGACCTTTCACATGCACTCGTCGATTACAAATGCACAATATTGAATGATCATTCAATGCGTTGGGTTCATAAACCCGGGGTTCTTCGGGGACCGGCTTCCCAAACAAAGGCTCGGTCCAAATTGACAACGCACAACTCATGGGCCGGCCCAAGTATCGGAACGACGGGCCAGAACGGCGATCGATCACCGACCGGAAGGTCCTGCCGAAGAGGAACGGCACCTACTTTCCGACTCCGCCCCACCTCTCCGACCGGAGTGCTCACTTCGGTCTCCAGTCACCGCCGGACGACCTCTCCGACCGGAAGGCCTGGCCAAAGCGCCACTTCCGACTCCAACCCCGCGTCTCCAACCGGGGTACGCAAAAACCCTGTTCGCTGCTCTTCTGCGACTGGCGTGACCAGAGCCGACTGGGACTAACTGACCGGGGATGCCCACTCGGAAAGGATCAGGCAACGGACAGAGAAAGCAGGGCAAGGCGCACAAGTCAAACCATGATACCAGGGACCATACCCTGTACACCTGCAGGAACAGTACTCTGCAACCGCCCTGACACAAACAGTGTTGTAGGCGCCTACATTTCCCCTACAGTATTGTGGGCGCCATTAAACTCCCATACGGTAAGGCTCCCCCCACATGCCTCTGGGCATCGACAATGTTGTGGGCGCCGGGATTTATCGTACCGAGTGCACATGGTAAAACTCCTCACATGCCTCTGGGCATCAACAGTATATGCAAGTACCGACATCTGCCATACCCAAACAAGGACGACGGAACCTCCCATTTGCATCTGACATCCAACAATGTTGTGGGCGCCCACCATCATCATGTACCCGTGGGCGCGGGCAACAAGGCTTAGAAGCATTCGTACTCTCTCTCTCTCACTTGTAATGCCATCCCCTTCATCTATAAAAGGGGATGCGCTCTCTCCCAATAGACCCAGTTGATTAAAATCGATACAAGTTAATCCAGATCGATCGAGTTCACTAGCTCACAACCACAGAACCGCCAGGTTCGGACCTTAGGCACACGCTTGAATACTTAGCCCATAGCGGAGCTACTGTCGCTCTCGGCCCTTCCGACCGGAGCCGACCGGACCTCTTGTACACCCCATCTTTCTCTTTTTCGTTTGTAACCCCACTGCATACTTCGAGCACCTGAGCTCAGGAATAAATTCACTGACCGACTCAAACTGAACGTAGGACACGTTGCCTGAACCAGTATAAACCCGGTGTCATTGAGTGCTAGGCCACCTCCAATCACAACGTAAGGCAAAATTACAAATATTTACGTGTTGGCCACTCTCTCAAATATGCTCTAACATAAAGTTTATGAGAGAGAGCAAACTACTGAACTCTTGTGTGCATCCTGCTGCTTCTCATCCCATTGAGTTCCTCCCTTTTCTCCTCTATATAAAATTCCTTTGTTTGAGGGAGGCCCGGCCCCAACCCCAAGTGTGACCCACCGTGTGTGCGTGTGTGCGTGTGTGCGTGTGACCCACCGTGCGTGTGTGCGTGTGTGCGGCGTGCGGCGTGCGTGTGTGTTTGAGCAGAACCCATCGTGTGCTGGAACTCCTGGAAGGCCACTAGTACTTTCCAAGTTGCTCCAAATTTCCAGGCCCTATATATATATGCTATGCAACCCCTCTTAACTACAACAGCCGCACACGGCATAAAGCCAAGACTAAGATAGCACACGCCCGTCTCTGGATACTTAGATCATAGCTAAGCTGAGAGCAAAGATGTCGTGGCAAACCCAGCAACGTGCGTTTCTCCCTCTCGCCGTCCTCGTCCTCCTCGCCGCCGCCGCCGCCGCTCCCTACCAAGCCAATGCGCAGCCGGCGTCGCCAGCAGACCCAACGGCCGCCGACACCTGCGCCGACCCCGCCGTGGACGGCGCGTGCCGCAACGTCCCGAAGGCGCTGCGCCTGAAGCTGATCGCCATCCCGACGATCCTCGTCGCCAGCATCATCGGCGTGTGCCTGCCGCTCTTCTCCCGCTCCGTCCCCGCGCTCCGCCCGGACCGCAACCTCTTCGTCATCGTCAAGGCCTTCGCGTCGGGCGTCATCCTCGCCACGGGCTACATGCACGTGCTCCCGGACTCCTTCAGCAACCTCACCTCGCCGTGCCTGCCCCGGAAGCCCTGGGCCGATTTCTCCTTCACCACCTTCGTCGCCATGCTCGCCGCCCTGTTCACGCTCATGGTGGACTCGCTCATGCTCACCTTCTACAACCGGAGGAAGGGCGGCGGCAACACCTCCGGCCGCCGCACTGGCGCCGCCGTCGCCGACCACGAGAGCCCGGCGCATGATGAGCACCACTGGCACAGCCACGGCCATGGCCATGGACACGGGGGCATCGTGGTCGTCGCCGACAACCCCGAGGACGAGGAGGAGGCCAGCAAGGTGCAGCTCCGCCGGAACCGCGTTGTCGTTCAGGTATTCGTGCTGCTGCTTCTGCCCACTCTAGTCTAGTAGTACAAGTGCTAGGTACGGATCTGTACGGACTACAAACTTTCCGTTGGCCTATCGTTAGCTGCGACATTTTTAAACAACGGTTCTCAAAAGCGACAGTGTCCGTACGCACGTTAGTTCATGTCTAAATTAATTACTACTGTGTGTTGCAAAGTCTTCACCATTGGTTTAACAGTCCTGCAGTAGGTACTTGACGCAAGATACATATGGCCCCACATGTTTTTCTATGAAAAAAGAAAAACGGCCAGCATATAAGTCAAACTATGGTACTAGCTCTATCCTACAAATAGTGTCATTATAGTTTGATATAGCTTTGTCCTACAGATGGTATATACTACTTTTATAACTTCGGCTGACTTAATATATAATAAAAGGCAGTACGAGTGGTAAATCCATGCAAATTAAAGTCGTATGACATTTGTTTTTGACTAATAACGATGACTTTATAGTGTGACGCCGACGAAACTATATATTTTAAGGCATGTCCCTACCTTTTTTTTCCGAAAGAGTGGAAAAGCTTTGCTCTAATATGATTAGAAAAGGAAAAGGTAAGCAGCTGAGTTTATAAGAAGAACCAGACCAAGAAGACCAAATAACTTACACAACTCACTCAGAAATGCAGCACTTGACTCCATCTAACACCCGAAATAAAATAGAGTAACAGACTAGCACAATATAACACTACTAAAAAGAATTTAAAGACGACACCCAGACTGAGTTAATGATGCATGCCCATGGTAATTAATTAGACATAGGATTAAAAAAACACAAATCAATCAACTACATTCATAATTGAATCTAGGACCGGAGCGTTCTCTCTAGTCTCTGCCATCGATCGATGGGTGAAACATCGACGTGCTTGAGGTGTGTTGTCATCTCAATTGCCATTAATGGTGGCAAGTGTGAAGATGGAAGGGAATGAGAGAAGGTTATGTTAGTTCAAGGGCAAAGTTGTGTATGCCTGTTTTTGTGGCATATTTGTTTTGGATCGACTTGCACAATAAATATTGGACATGCTCCGGTAGATTTCACATCTAAATTGGTGAGAAAGCTTTTTTTTGGGTCATGTTCATACAATTTGTATTAACATGTATAAGGCCGGTTAAATTTTTTAAACCTGAACACGCCAGATGTAGTGTGTTTGACTATTTGTTTTGTCAAAACAAATAAAAAACACCGCTCACACATGCCAAATTGTGTGTTATCAAGACTTAATAGTTTACTGAGACAAGAGTATGTTTTGCATTGGTATGGAGTACTCCCTCCATCCGTACACATCTCGTGTTTGGAGGAGGCAACTAATTTTAAGTTTGACCATATTTATAGAAAATTGTATTAACACTTGTTTAACAAAATATGTTTACTATGAAAATATAGGACGTGATTTATCTAATGATGCTTATTTAGTATCATATACTCTGATCCCTCCGTTCCAAATTATAAGTCGCTTTGACTTTATCAGTTCGAATTTGCTATGTATCTGGACATAGTGTATGTCTAAATACAAAGCAAATTCGATTTATCAAAAAAGTCAAAACGACTTATAATTTGAAACGGAAGGAATACTATATCAGTATGTTTTTGTATATATTCGGGCCTTGTTTAGTTGGCGAATTTTTTTGGGAAATGGTACTGTAGCACTTTCGTTGTTATTTGGCAATTAGTGTCCAATCATAATCTAATTAGGCTTAAAAGATTCGTCTCGTGAATTTCGTCTAAACTGTGTAATTAGTTTTATTTTTTATTTATATTTAATGCTTCATGCATGCGTCAAAGATTTGATGTGACGGGAAATCTTGAAAAATTTTGCAAAATTTTGGGAACTAAACAGGCACTCGATCAAACTTGAGATTGACTAACTTTTCGAAATTCAAGATGTGCACTTATTTTGGAACCGAGGGAATATCTACCTCTTGTTTGCATATAGTTGTAGCTCTGAAATCCCAAAGAATTTAAGGTGTATGATAAATTTAAGGGATTTAAACCTATATTTTATCCAGAATATACCTTTTAGTATGTCTATAACTTCAGCTCCAAGAAATTTTGGAGCTAGAAATGCCCAGCTATAAAATCTGTTAGAGCTCAAGCTCCGTCAAACAGATCCTGATTAGAGCTAATCTGCGTGTCATAACGGTGTTTAGCTTGTCTTAAATATGTCATCAGGCAATTGGCTACTTGGCTTGACTGGTTATTATTAGCGAAACCATGTGACATGTGATAAGCTTGAGTACTCGTGAGTCGTGACCGGGTCCGCCGGGCCCACATTTTTTTTCCTGTTAGACGATCGTACTAATATATAACATCCATTATTATAATTATTACTTCCTCCATCCCAAATTATAAGACGTTTGACTTTTTTGACACTAAGTTTGACCACTCATCTTATTCAAAAATTTATACAAAATATGACTTCTTTTGTCGTGGCTTGCTTTATTAATAAAAGTTCTTAAAGAATGACTTAAATTTGACTATGTTTTCATAAATTTTTTTAATAAGACGAGTGATCAAACTTGTGGTAAAAAAAGTCAAACGTTTTATAATTTGGGATGGAGGAAGTATAAGGTACTCCCTCCATACTAAAAAATAAAGTTGTTTTGGACAGTCACACGGTCTCCAAAGTATAACTTTGACTACTTATTTTTATAAAAATATTTATCGAAAAGTGATATATGTAAATTTTTGTGAAAATATTTTTCAAGACAAATCTATACATATGGTTTTTACATTTCCAAACTCAACAACTTAAAAGTTATTTATGATTTATATTCTCAATGTCTGACCCAAGTCTTATTCAAAACGACTTTATTTTTTTGAGTATGGAAGGAGTATATATGGCCATCAGTTAGAGAAATTTCGATGTAAAATATCGCAGTTTTGTACGGTCTTGAGCAAAAAAACTAACAGTCCCTGATGCACGCACGCACGCAGGTCCTGGAGATGGGCATCATCGTGCACTCGGTGGTGATCGGGCTGGGCATGGGCGCGTCGCAGAACGTGTGCACCATCCGGCCGCTGGTGGCGGCGATGTGCTTCCACCAGCTCTTCGAGGGCATGGGCCTCGGCGGCTGCATCCTGCAGGCGGAGTACGGCGCCAAGATGAAGGCCGGGCTGGTGTTCTTCTTCTCCACGACGACGCCGTTCGGGATCGCGCTGGGGCTGGCGCTCACCAAGGTGTACAGGGAGAACAGCCCCACGGCGCTGATCGTCGTCGGGCTGCTGAACGCGGCCTCGGCGGGGCTGCTGCACTACATGGCGCTGGTGGAGCTCCTGGCCGCCGACTTCATGGGGCCCAAGCTTGCAGGGCAGCGTCAGGCTCCAGCTCCTCTCCTTCCTCGCCGTCCTCCTCGGCGCCGGCGGCATGTCCATCATGGCCAAGTGGGCGTGAGCTGAGCCGACGACGTACACGTACGTGACACTGTACTGTACTACTGTTACACCAACACTGCCGTATGTATCTGCATCGCTGCATGTACCAGTACCTATATATAGCTAGCTGTTGTATCATTTCGCGCGCTTGGTTTGCTCCGTGCTTCCGCCTCGATCATCAGGCTCTAATAAGCTAGGTAGAGCAGACAGTGTATTAATGTTGTTGTCATGATTGTGCAACGTCCAAGCTACCATGCAAGTAGTACGCTCTAGCTACTCGTGATGTAACATTCTGTTGTTAGGAGTATTATCCTTTGTATCTTGTTGCTTCACAGAATCACAACATCCAATATTCCCGCAAAATCGTGTGTGGCCGGTCGGTCTTTCACGCCACCTGTACCACTTGAACTCAAGAAAGGGTTTTTGACGCAGATTTTTCTTCGTTTTGCCTTTATACATAATTATGGGATGAACAATAAGTGTATCTTGGCCTTCTCTCCCTTTGTAGCATAACATCCTCCCCATATATATTTGCCTACTAAATACTTCCTCCGTCTCAAAATAAGTGACGTTTTTTTTAATTTTCAGATATCTTGTTTGACCGTTTGTCTTATTCAAAATATCTGTGTAAACTAAAAAATTAAATAAATTATTATTAAAGTATCTCTAACGATAAAAATAAGTCATAGGAAAATAGATAATATTTATATAAAAAATTTGAATAAGACGAACGGTCAAACAAGGTGAAGTAAAAAACGTTACTTATTTTGGGACGGAGAGAGTACATACTACTTCTGTTTCAATTTATATGTCGTTTTGGCTTTTGTAGATGCATAACTTTTATTATATATCTAGACATATTATATACCTAGGTACGTAGCAGAAGCTATATACCTAAAAAGCTATTGTGTACATTTATGTGCATAGCTAAAACTACTTATAAATTTATACAAAAGCTAAAATAATGTAATTTGGGACATAGGGTGGTACTTGTATTCGCCAAAGAGCCACACTTGTACACAACATTGTCGGTTCAGGTGTATGACGCCTGCCCCGAACACGCACCATATATTTAGTTTAATTAATGGTGGGCTAAATGGCTAATGGCCCAATCACCAATCAGCCCAACTATAGCCCAAGTTCCTTGGCACAAGCGCCATTGATTCTACATTGATTAGATAAACTTCAGAGGGTCATTGTTCGTTATTCACTTTGATACGGATCTTGAGGCCCATAAAAGAGGAGAAGCGGTAAGTTAGGTCACTAAAAAAACTTATTCTAGAGATCTATTTCATTCTATATTAGGTAAACTAAAAGAACTAGTAAGACGTGCACTTAGGTTTATATCTAGTGTTCTCTATCAGTCTATTATTTACGCAAATCAGAGAACTCAGAGAACTTGGAGTTGAAGGTGCCACTATGGTGTATGTTATGACATTCCATTTTCTGTTTTGGATTTTATATTATATTATGCTCTTGATTCTTAAACTTATTTGAAGATATAAATGTTAATATCATTTTATATAAATTACCTAGTTAAAATTAAGAATGTTTGACGACTTACTACAAACCTAGGATGATGTTCTTTTTAGGATGGAGGTAGTATTCCTTTACTAGTATGTTCTAGTGATAGGTTAACTGATGATAAATTGTATTTAATTTTGTTTCATCGTTTTTCATTGAAAAATAAAAAAAAAATGAATCAGAGACCATTTGTTTGTTTGTTTTTTCATGTGGGATTGTAAGGATGTTCAAGACTTGGAAGTCAAGTGATGTATTTTGCATATTTTGATAATCTTTGGCCATGCTAATGGTATTTATTTTGGTAAATTCATTTATCACTTCTTTGTAGTTGCATCCCCCTCTTTTGGCTCATACGGGGGTGTTGGATACCCCCACCTAATTAAACTTTAGTCTCAATCACATCAGATATTTAGACACTAATTAGGAGTATCAGACATAGATTAATTATAAAACTAATTACATAGATGGAGGCTAATTTGCGAGACGAATCTACTAAGCCTAATTAGTTCATAATTTGACAATGTGGTGCTACGATAAACATGTGTTAATCATGAATTAATTAGGCTTAATAGATTTGTCTCGCTAATTAGTCTACTCCTATGCAATTAGTTTTATAATTAGCTCATATTTAGTCCTTCTAGCTAGCATCCGAATATCCGATATGACACGAACTGTGTACAGCAGTACAGCTAGTTTGTAGTAGTGCACATATCTTAGTAGACACAATTATTTGAGAACAGTCTCAAATAGTGTCATTAAGACTATCCAAGAGAGATGTCTTCGAGAGCACTGACAGCAGTCCTCGTCTTCTGCTTCCTGTCCACCTCACCGTTTGCCGCCGTTTCCGCCCAAATGGAGCCCCAAGCACCGCCCACCGATGGCGCATGCGGCGGTCCGCCCGTCGGGGGCAAATGCCACAGCGTCGCCAGCGCGCTGCGCCTGAAGCTGATCGCCATCCCCTCGATCCTCCTGGCCAGCTTGCTGGGCGTGTGCCTGCCGCTCTTCTCCCGCTCCGTCCCCGCGCTCCGCCCCGACGGCAACCTCTTCGTCGTCGTCAAGGCCTTCGCGTCGGGGGTCATCCTCGTCACCGGCTACATGCACGTGCTGCCGGACTCCTTCAACGACCTCAGCTCGCCCTGCCTGCCCCGGAGGCCCTGGGCGGAGTTCCCCTTCACGGCGTTCGTCGCCATGCTCGCCGCCGTGTTCACGCTCATGATGGACTCGCTCATGCTCTCGTTCCACGGCCGGGGCAAGGGCAAGGGCAGGGGAAGTGCTTCGGTCGCGCACCATTGCCATGCTGACAGCGCACTGCCGCAGGTGCACTGTCACGGGCACGGGCATCTAGACGTGAGCGAAGCGATGCCGGAGGCCGCGGACAAGGTCGTCGAGGACGACGTCGAGGCCGGCACGGCGCAGCTGCGCAGGAACCGTGTCATTGTTCAGGTAACCGATCGATCTTGTTGCACGATGGCCTTGATAGTTCTTCCGTTCATTGTTGTTGATCTTGGTGTCGACCTCGATCGGCAGGTCCTGGAGATGGGCATCGTGGTGCACTCGGTGGTGATCGGCCTCGGCATGGGCGCGTCGCAGAACATGTGCACGATCCGCCCGCTGGTGGCGGCGCTCTACTTCCACCAGCTCTTCTTCTCCACCACGACGCCGTTCGGGATCGCGCTGGGGCTGGCGCTCACCAGGGTGTACAGCGACACCAGCCCGACGGCGCTGATCGTCGTCGGGCTGCTGAACGCGGCCTCGGCGGGGCTGCTCCACTACATGGCGCTCGTCGACCTCCTCGCCGCCGACTTCATGGGGCCCAAGCTGCAGAGCAGCGTTAGGCTCCAGCTCGTCTCCTTCCTGGCCGTGCCCCTCGGCGCCGGCGGCATGTCCGTAATGGGCAAGTGGGCGTGATCTGTCCGGCCGGACTCCGGAGGAGCCTGAGAAGGCCCAATCAATCAGGTTCAGGTGCCGTGAATATATTCTGTGTTTGCTCCCGCTCGCATGTTCAGTTGCTCAAAATGGTCACCGCTGCATCGGGGGCGGCGCGGATCAAAATCTTGACGTACTTGACTGTATTTGTATCGCTTGAAGGTAGCCTTATTTCACAGTATGCTCCTATTGTCTTCAGGGTAGTATATACTGTACTCCAGTAGTGTTGCGGTAAATATTATGGAAGGTGAGATATCTTATCTTATACTTTTATAAAGTAAAACTCCACTAGCTATTTATCTCAACATACAAGTTGTCTAACTAGACAATACACTATCTCATCTATATTCTAAGGGACCAATCAAAACTATACTATGTCAAAAAAAACGTCTCCCGCTAAATGACTCTAACCATTGTGCACCAACAAAATTATACCCAGCATTACAACATCATTAAAATTTATAACTCCTAATCCTTTCTCACATGCTTTAACTCAATCCGATGGTGAACGTTATTTGGATCTCCCACCCTCAAGCTTCAACGCACGCCTCGCGCTTCAACGCACGCCGCTTGCACGACGGCACACCGGATGAGACCCACCATCAAATCCCAAACTCAAAAAAAAAAACAAAGAAGTTTCCTTCCAAAAATCCTTCCAGACGACACGGAGAAACACCGCAGTGCCCGTCCAGCGCCGTCTTCCTCCCGACCCGTCCCGCCGCGGCGCCGCCCCGCCTCGCCTTGCAGAAGAAGAGGAGAAAATTCCTTCATTGCCATTGAAAACTATAACCATCTCTTCATTGCTATTTAAAATTATATGTTCCCTTCGTTGCCATCAGTTTTAGATTTTCCGTTCCCTCGGTGCCACTGCTGTTACAAAGAGTCACGGCGTGACTTGGCTCTCATACCCGACGTCTCAGACACCATCACAGGGCTGGCTTGGGGTCATGGGCTCGACGTCGCAGGGCTGGAGTAGGGTGGCGTGGCGAGGTCGGTGGAGGCTCGACATCATGGCACGGCGTCGAGGTGGTCGGGGATGTCGAGCGCGTCCGCGTGGTTGGCTCCGAGGCGGACGCGACGAGTGCGGTGGCGTTGCGATGCTGGGGTGGATTGCAGTGCCGACGGGGCTCCCGTGACGCGACGGCTCCGGGTCAAGGCGGCTCGAGGCGAGGAAGATGTGATGGTGGTGCTGGAGCTCGGAGTTGCTTGACGTAGAGACACCGACGGCAGCTCGGTGCAAGGGACGCCGGTGCTCGTCGACGTGGAAGATGATGAGGCCGACGGTGGTGGCGTCTTCCACGAAGAGCAGCAGGGCGGCGGCTGGAGGTGATGGCATGCCCGGCGGAGAGCAGCAGGGCGGCGGGGTGGAGCTCAGCGTCACGGAGAAGGCTCGGACGCTGCTCGAGGATGGTTGCGCTCGCGTCAGCGTGGACCATGATGTCGCGGCGGCATCGAGGCAGAGGCACGACGAGGCTCGACGGCGTCGCGGGCTCAGGATAACGGACAGAGCACCGGGCGGCGGAGTTCCTGGCCGTCGCGCTGGCGAGCGGCTCCAGGAGGTGCCTGCCCGCCGGCGTTCTCTTCCTCCTTCCTCGGCCGCGGCAACTCCAGCTTGCAGCCCCACCCTAGACCCGCATCCTGCTCGCCCCGCGCAAGCCAGGCCAGCGCAGCCCCGCTAAGCGCACAGCACGCAGCTCCACCGGCCACCTGCCCCGGTCCGGCTAGCCAGAGCTCCTTCGCCCGGCTGAGCACCGCGCCTAGCTCCCCCCTTCGTAGACCGCCCGCGCGCTCGCCAGCGGCGGCGTGGCTGGCTCGTCGTGGACGCCTGCCCTCGCGCTCGGCCGGCGGCGGCGTGTCGCGGACGCCCGCTCGTGTGCTTAGCCAGCGGCTGCGTGGCTGCTTGTCGCGGACGCCCGCCTGCGCCCTCGGTCGGCGGCAGAACGGCTCGCTCGACGCTGTCGCTCTCCCGCGTGCTCGCCCGGCGGCAGCGCTGCTCGCTTGACGCGGTCGCCCGCCCGCGTGCACGGCCGGCGGCGCACGGCTAGGCCGCCCCACCCGCGTTCTTGTCTAGCGTCGGAGCGGCTGGCTCGGCGCAGCTGCCCTCCCATGCTCGAATTTGCTCGCTCGGCGCTGGAGATGGAGAAGAGAGAGAGGAAGGGAGGTTGTGGGGAAGAAGACTGACGAGTGGGCCCCCATGTGTCAGTGAGTGTGAGAGAGAAGAGGATGGGGGCAATCTTGCGGCTCCTGGTATGGACGCCGAGGCATGGATGGGACAGCAGGCGGCGGCGGCGGCGACTTCCTGGGAGCGTGTCCGCGCGGCTCCAGGGTTCGGGCACAAGTGTGGCCGCGGCTTGGGCCAGTTGGGCCGCTGGCGTACGGTGGCTTGCTGACTCGCGAGGGGGCTGGGACGTAGGAGACGTCGGGTATGGGAGCAGTCACACCGTGACTCCTCTCTAACAGCAATGGTAACGAGGGAATACAAAATCTAAAACTGATGGTAATAAAGAGAACATGTAATTTTGAATGGCAATGAAGGGATTGTTATAGTTTTCAATGGCAGTGGAGGAAGAAGAGTGCAGCAGCCGGCTCGACTTTTTCCCCACGTTTCGACCCAGTACAAGGCGTAGCGGCACCGGAAGGAGGGAAGCGAGAGTCTTAACCGCCCGCCCGCCATGGCTTCGTCGTTGAAATCTGCCGACTCCACTTGGTAACGATCCATGGTGAGTGCGTACTTTTGATCCACAAACCCTGGGTTTGCGGCCAGATCTCTGGAATCTAATTGTTTGTTTTATCAGTTCCACTTCATGCTGTTTTGTGTGCCTTGCACTGACCGAATCAGCGGATGGGTAGGGACGCCAATGCGGCACTGCTGCCTCCGTCGTTGTAATCCAGGGAAGCTGACGCAGCTGATACACCAAATAAAATCGGGGCCATGCAAGTCCACCTGAGTTTATTTGCTTCATTAATTCCGTGAGTAGTTCTGTGTATGCAACATTGTTCATATAACTTCTCAGAATGAGCAGTGCATCACTTTTTTAATCTTTTTTATATTTATGTTATTTTACTCTTGTTTAAACAACACAGCGCAGCGCAGAAACCAACGGAGGATGAGAAAATTTTACTCTGATCCAGTTGGAAACGAGGCTATGATCTGCAGTAACATTGATGATGAAATTCCTGCGCCTGGCACCACACAAAAGTTTATTAAAGAGCCTGCTGTAGTTCCCTCAACACCTACCGCTAGGGAGACCGCTAACCATGGAGGCCTTGGAGGAGCTATTGGAGCCTGCCGAGATCTGGGATAAGGTAACCCAGTGATTCTTCTTGTGTAGATGGTGTTGTAATTTTTAGGATGGTAACTAACCAGCTTTGAATTTATCTGCATTTCTCACCAGTCTATAGTGAATCTTCTTAGTCCTGTTTTTCTTAATAGCAAAGCAAGGGTATTACTGCAATTGAGAGATCAGATTGTAGGAGGCCAGCCTCATGCCCACAGGCCATCGGAAAAGGTAGTCCTTTTTCTTCAGTTGCTCAACAGACCACAACGAATTTGTACTTCTTCAGTTGCTTAACAGACCACAACGAATTTGTACTTTAGTTGCTTAAAATCTACCTGAATTTAACCTAGCTGCTTTGGACTTTCTAACTTGATGAATTTCGGATAAAATTCTATAGGTTACATTGGGAAAAATCTGGTCCACGAGTAATCCCTGTCATCAAATGGCAAAGGAACGATTATCAGGGTTGGTCATCCGGTTTATGTTCGGTAATCACTCTCTTCTCAAGCTCCAGCTAGATTAATGGCTATACATTTACGCAAGAACTGCTTGCCTGAGTGGCTGAGTTACAAAAAAAAACTGTCTAAAGTTTAGACATGTTAATTGTTTACATAAATTAAAAACTGTCTTGTGATCTAAAAATATTTCATGACATCTTCTCTTCCAATATATGTTGGTTTCATTTTTCTATGCTTACTGCCCGTGCTAACTGTATCACCAAGCTACAAAGTGTTTTCTTCCTCGGAGTCCCACTCATCATCGTCGCACAAGGCACATAACTTGGCTTGGCTTGGTACTTACCATGTATCTTTTTTGCATGGAGACAGGGTTGGAAAAAAAATATTGATTGTTTTTGTTTCGCCTAGAGACAGAAAAAAGGTGCAGCCGGACATGAAGTCATGAGGCGTTCCTGATCGAGGTGACGGTGAGTGACCGGCTGATAGTCTTTAAGGCCTTTAGATAGTTGGATTAGTCTCCTCTTTCATATGAGCATTGATCCTGAGTGGTCGAGGTGGATCCGAGTGCATGTTGCGGTTCAGCTCGGGACATGCAAAATGGAGCCTACAGGAGCTAATGGCTAGAGGGGTATACGGTGGCTGCCATCATTTTACTCTTTCAAGAAACTACAAATCAATTTAGTCAAAAATAATTTTAGAAGTTATAATATATCTTCAATTATGTATTTGGTTCTGTGGTAATTAGTGGAATTGCAATGTAATAATTGTTCAAAAAGTAAAACATGCATCTGTAATTTGAGAGAGTACTGGTTTGTGAAATACTTTTTTTCTATAACGAGGCATAACATTATTCTTTTTTGTTTTCCAAGATATTTAAGTCAAAGTTATTAAAAAAGGATTTCCCAAATCATACGATTGGTTTGCATTGTAATATCTTGAGCTGTAATGGCTAAGTCTTACGCAAGGGAACCATCTTTTGGTTGTTTTAGAGAATCTTCAAGAGCCTTTCTAAATCTCACTCTCTAAGTCATCATTTGGAGTCTTTTGCATATATTTTAGTTCTAATTTGCATAGACCCGAAAGTTGCCGTAGCGTTAGCATATGCAATACACTAGTACAATTAAAATCCACTAGCACATACAAGCTGTCCAACTAGGCAATGCACTATGTCATACAATTAAAATCTAGTAGCACATGCAATTGTAATGTTCATGTCAGCAAGACACATAAGCATTTTGTTCTCTAC